AGGCAGCACCAGGAGAGCGCCGAGCGCGGCTCCGCCCCGGCCGCCCACCGCCGCGGCTCTAGAGCAGAAATAAGCAGCCAGGCCGTAAAGGACAAAATCAGACTTTGTTTATTAAAAAAATACTTTACAGGAAAAAATTCTATGCATTCCGTTGGACTATTTTACAAAGAAATAGCTTAACAGTTTGACACTCGTGTACAGTCAGCTACTGACAGAAATGCACTGCGTTAGAGTATTCACACAGAGGCTCGAGCGCTTCGTCGCTGCACTACTCATTGTAAAACCTCTTTGAAACACTTGCTAATGTCAATAAATACACTAAGGCCGCACAAAGCAAACAGTCTTCCAGGCAATTGTACACGTCCCTCTGTAGGCAGAGACCTTAGATAAATTAAAACCACAGAAAAAATCGTAGCTGCCAATCAAAATCAAATTAAATCACAAAAACAGCAATACAGAAGTCTCTTTACATGTTGTACAAAGAAATCAGAAGCGTATGTATTTCTCTAAACACTCGGAGCGCCCCGCAGACACCTCCTCAGCCCCTGTGCCATCGCCCCCGAGGCTGCCACATGCCGCTGGGATTTCTCACCGGACAGCATAAGAATATACAGGACGAGCTTTCGGGGGAGAGAGGCCACTGTTCTGGGAGTAAAAACAAGCGCTCCCCTCTTCTCGCACCCCTCGAGCAAGTACAGAGCTGCCAACACTTGGCACTCCTCGGAAACTACAATTTCAGAGTTTATTACTCAGTTGATTCAGACCTGAAAACGGCAGGCCACGCCAGATGAAGGACTTGAGCTCACGCCTGTGGGAAAAGCTCTGACAATTAGCCTTGTCCAGGGGAACTGAACTGTAACATGCAGGAAAACTGACAGAGTACAGTAGAGAGCCCTTTTTCTGTATGGCAAGATCTATACCTGTGAAAAGTGTTGATTATAAATCCCCTGAGAACACTTCGCCGAGTGTCCCACCCTCCTGGAAGAGAACGTGTCGAGTATCTGCACAAAATGACTTGTAGCATGTCTAGAGGAGAGAGGAAATTGAAGCTAACTGGTATTTCATCTCTAAACTGCATTTCGCTGGTCCACTTCTAGCACCACTGAGCTACTCACCTTTATCCCAAGTGACAATTTTAATCAACAGGACTTTATTTAAAATAGAAGCCTAAGCCCGAGTTCCATATCTCAAAGCTGATCACTCTTCATAGACAGAGTGCTTGGTCAATTAGCAGTTGTCTCCAGTATAAAGCAGGAGTGTTTTCTCATTATCAGCTGACAGACATATCGCAGGGCAGATCCTCATAAATGGAGAATTGAGGATTTACAGTAGCTGACCAGCGCATTCATATTTATGAACTGCTTGGTATCTATCTGGGTACTACTGAGGACTATTACAACAACCCATGAAATTTGCTAAAGTTTGATTATCTCATTACATAGGCTGTTTTAGGAAATCTTACAGAGAAATTCAAACAGCCAGCTATTTAACATGAGCGATATTCAGAAACATTTACTTGGACCTACCCAGAGATTCGTTTTGCTCAGCAAACACTAAGTGGCTTGAACTCATTACTTCATTTCTAAATAGCTATAGCTTATAAAAATCAGTATTCTACATGTCTTGTTCTGGAAAACATTTGCATCTTTCCCATCAAGGCATTGTTCTAATTCTGCTCTGTTGTTTTCAGTGCAATTGAAGCAATCTTGAAACAATGGCTAGACAGCACAGCGATCAGCTTTGTAAGCAATCCCTCTCATACTTTACATCCAGAATTGAAGTGGAGTTTGAAAGTAGTATGTCATTTTGGTTAAAGCGTACCAAAATTGATAACATATTTAGGTAATAGATTTTTATAAAGTTTGCTCCTCTCCTCCTCAGTCTTCCAAGCATGCTAGAACAGCATCAGCAACATTCAAGTCATTTGAAGATACATTTCTGTATTTAAATCTGACATTAGATATTAAGTTAGTAATTGAATGGAACATAAAGAGAGCATGATACTATTGGTCATGTCCCTCCATCCAGAGAGATAAGTCAGAGCATTTTCCTGGTATTTCAGGCTGTAGTCACAGATTTCACTAAAGCTACAGTTTTGAAAACAACATGAGCCACTCTGGTCTTCTTCCTTTGTCCATTTGAAAACATGCTATTAGAATTTACAGAGGACTTCCAAATTGATTCCCTCTTCATTCTATTTCAACTTTCACTATGAAACAGACAAGTTGGTGTATGGGGGCTCTTAATCTGTTTATTCTGCCTTTAAAGTTATGTTTGCAGACTCCCTGTAGTATCTGCAGATTTGTCAATTCCTGAGTGATTGTACGCAGTGCTGGCTGTCAAAGAACGGCCACCTTATTGATGTACCTCTACTGACACGACCAAAGAATAGCACATGTGAGAAGTGAAATGGGCACTTGGAAGACTAGCAGACTTCGTAAAAAGGAAAGAACACCCTTGGGTAATACGATCTTTGAATGTGAAGGATGAACTGAAACCGCTATTGCCTGTGAGGAATTTTACTTTGCACAACCCTTAAAGCTATGAAATTCCTCTCAACATAAAAAGTGGAAAAAACCCACCAGAGAACAGACGGCTCATTTATGAACCAGTCTGGGTCATCTAGAATTTCTGCTAAGATTAAATTACACCCCTGCATGAATCACATTACTTTTCATCATGAAAGCTTTCCATTCTAACACCTTATTTACACAGATTACTAAACAAGTCACTACCACTTCAATCTGTAAATTAGTTTTAAATTGAAATATTTCCTAGTCCTCATTTTTGTACCGAAGACAATACATACATACACATAAGGAGTAATACAGGTTCTAACTAATCACTGCAGTATCTTCTGATGATTATTTTTCTATCAGTTTAAAATAGTGACCTCTACACTGAGGTGCTAATATGTATATAAAAGCCTACACAAACAATATTGCACAAAGTAAGATTTATAATAGAGTAACATATTTTAGAGACCCTTATAAAGAGAAGAGTAATAATTGATATTAAAAAGATGCATCCAGAACTAACACAGCATCTTTGCTTTTGTCTAGTCTAACATAGTGTTTCAAATCTTTCCTACCCCAGTGAGGATTAGAACAAATAAAGTTATCTGGAGACAGCTTAAGTTGCACCAAAACCCAACTTGTACTCTAAATGTGGGGAGGGGGAAGGGAGAGGGAGAACGGGACAGGACTTTTCCTTTTGATGACTGGAAAGGGCAGTAATAAATGGGGTGAGTGAAAGTCAAATACAGATTACACGTTAACATCCAGAAATATTGAAAGATTGTTTAAAAACTGTTGATAGCTGACACTCTACATATTTAGCATGTGCCACTGATTTTTCCACAGTACCTGGGCACCCAGAAGCTACACATGGAAACAGCAGTCCAATGCCATAATACTTTTTATTGTGAAATAGTAATACAAAACTTCCTAGAATAAGCACAGCCTTACTGTGTAAGTCAGTTATCAACTCAATGCTATTATATTAAGTGCATCAGTACAAGGGAAAGTGTGGTTCCATTGGACACATTACGACCTGATCAAAACAAGCTGCCAAGTTGGTTAGTATTTTAAAGCCTTAAAGTGCTCAAAGATAGCAGTTTCCTCCACAAGACTACCAATAGGTTCTCTAATTTTGACACTAGTATTAATCATGTTCAGGGAAGATGTATTTTGGAAGCAAAATTCTCACACCAAACAACGTAAGCAGTGCTGTGAAAAGTGTTAGGTCAGTAAGTCATTGCATTTCAACAGGATCAGACACTTTCTTCAGTTAATTTTACCGATCACCTTTGTAGGAACTGTAAGAAATAGAGATCAATTTCTATAGCTTGTATATAAACGCAACCTCTATATAAACCAACATGTCAAGAACAGACATACCAAAAATTTCACAAATCATCAAAAGTGCTGTGCTTTCTCTTTTTTTTTTCTTTTAAGCAATTAAAATGACATGGGAAAGTCACTTTGCAAGTCTTCTACAAAAGCATCACTTTCTGGTGAAGATTAGAGATAAAGTAAAAGTAGGGAAATAACACTGACCAATATAGTTCAATCATTTTATGTTCCTGGAGGAATTTCATTCTGACTTTGAGGAGATATTCAATATCTCTTTACTTAAACAGAAAGAAGTGGTAGACCACTGTTACAGGTTGTACTAAGGGGTTAAAATACAACTTGAATTTTGCATAATCTGTGTAAAAAAGATATGCTTGACATTTTGGAATGTCACCTTTCTTTATAGAATTATAGGCAAGATTTCTCCAATAAAACATAAGCCAGTTATAAAACTATAACTTCACATCAAAATTTTAAAAAGTTGTTAAAAAAATGTTTGATTATTTACATATCACACAGAAGAGCCTGCATGATCCTGTGGATTGTGTTGCTGATCAGACTCTATTTTAAAACCTGGAAGGGGCTGGGCCACCTGATCTGGTTGCACAAGTCCTGATATTGAAGAAACAGAGGAGGAGAGCACCCCTGTTGTAAGCTGCATTTCTATACCTGGTTCTTCAGACTCTATTTTTACACTCACACACTGGGGTTCACCTTCTGACTCTGTCTTTCCAGGAATACTACTGTTCAGGCTTGAATTGCTTTCTGCATTTTGAGAAGTCTCCCCCACAGGGTGATACTGTTTAAGTCTTATGTGCCAGGCTAAGCTGCAGACTGCTGACACTGTTTTGAACTGATGAATGACATTTCTAGGGATGAAGTAGATGTCATTGTCACACAACTGAATTCTAGCATAGCGAATGCCTTCCCGTCTCATTTGGTTTAGTTTGGCTTCATCCACCCATTGAACACACTGAGAGAAGGAAAGATGGTAAAGTTAGTGGTATACTCTGTTTAGAGGAAGCAATTCAGTATCCACCTATTTTCAACATACTTCATGTCTAAATCAGAATGTTTCTGTTTAACAGGTAAAACTTCAAATTTAAATGAGAAATGGACTTTTTAAGTATAATTTATCTAATGTGCACATCTTAGGAGAGGACAATGAACAGTTAAGAGCATTCTACAGTTGTAGTTGAAAACAGTAGGTTCGACATGAGGCTGCATTGCTTTGGCTGACAGGACTGAGTTTAGATGCCTTCACATCCTAAGACAACATCAGTATATTAGAAAAGGCAGAAACAGGCATACCTAATTGCTTCTATAGCACATATCATGACTCACAGCATAAATCCCAGCTTGGTGGAAAGGAAAAGTAGTTGGACTAGATGATCATTGTAGGTCCCTTCCAACTGAACTATTCTATTCTGAAACATGAGAAGGGAAATTGCCCAAGAGAGCCGTGAGTTGAGGGCCACTGAGGATACAAAAGGGCTGGCTACACAGTGAACCTGAAAACTGTTAGAAGCTGCTTGCAAAATGCTAAGAATGAGCTGTCACTAGGGAAGATTCAATACCTGTGACACTGGAGGTTCATGCAGGTCCAACTGAAGTCTCTGCACAACATCAGTGAAATCTTCAGCATGGAAACAAACCACATCTTTGGTTATACGAGGCTGGTCACTCCTAGAAAAAGATGAGAATTCCAGGAATTTTTAAAGAATTTGATTTATAGAAAATTATAGCTCTTTCCAGCAGAAAGTTTCATTGAACCAATGACCTACTTCAGTTTTACACTGCACACGAAGTCTCATCACTTCTCAATACACATTATTTTGAAAAGGAGGTATAATTCATAGATTTTTTTTTTTCCATTGTACTTCTTCCTTGATGCATGCACAACAGAAGTGATATTTTCGTGGACAATTACTATACTGAAATGTCCGAGAACTAGGTTCAAATTGCCACTAAAGTTCTCTGCCTGTTTAAGGAACCACAATTTGCCTCAACTCTTCCATTCTATAATTAGACAGAATAATTCTGTATTAAGGGGAAAATGTAAAGTAACAAAGTAACTCTGAAGCCAAAGCAATGAGGAGCTGGGCTTTATTCAACAGCTGTGAATCAGAGTAAAGGAAGTTCTGGCACCTTTTATTCATATGAAAAAATCTGAAGATATTGCTAGTGATGCTATCCAATTTCTACTGTAATTGCTAGAAATAACTATGATGCAAATCTAGTTTCTGTGCAAGGTCAACAGCAATGTCCTGGGTACATGAAATGAGAAAGCACTGTAGCTGTGAAATTAATTACATTGAGTTCTTAGATTACTGTTAAAGAAGTTAGCATTAATGTACCTATTCAGGAAAAAAACAATCACAGATGATGGTCCAGGCATGGTATCTTAAGGCTTATTTTGTATGTCACTAAAGTTTTCCGCAAACTGCTGTTAACAACTTTTCTACTGCCTCAAGAGGGAAAAATAGTAGGTATATAGCTTGTGTTTTTCAAGCTCTGGACAGCATTTGTCTCATTACGGGATTTAAACCATTTCTTTGATTAGGCTTGTTTTCCAAGGAATTTTCCTTTTTTAAGAGAGAAAACATTTAGCATTACCCCCTCCTACTAGAAATAGTTGCATTTCAGTGGCACTTACCATTCCCCAAACTGTACAGCCTTCAGAACACCTACAGCAGCTGTACTCTGCCAGTCAAACCCTTGACCCACATGATCAGCGTGAGCTCTAGTTCTGTCTTCAAACAGAACCTCACGGGGCTCACTGGTCCGAGGTAGGTACTGGAGATTCTTTATTTCGTTCATTGACCTACAACATGATAAAAAGACATACTAAAAAATGTTTCAGACTACTCAAAATAAATACTTGTATTAAAATAATCTTGAAGTGTTGTGTGCTGCAGGCTTCAAAATCAAAGAGCGAAGCACTTCCCTCTGATTTCTTCTAGGTGTTTATTTGACAAAAGATTGAAACAAATACAGCAAAGTACAATTCAGGTTATGAGATCAAACTTTATAAAACAAATCCAATCATAAAAAAAAATTTTTTGTTCACTTGTGCTGAAAGAATTCTTCCAGGAATTTAATGGTATGTAAAATAGAACTATTTTAATAGATACTAACTTTTAGTTATTTGGGAGTATGTCCAAAAATTCTGCTTGAAATTACAATATAAAATATGCTTCCAATTCTTTATCTCCTAAAATTTGTTCTACAGCACACTCTTTCTGAGAAAGATAGCAAGTACCTATGTATACCACAATATTTCCTAAGAAGGCAGACAGTATTACAAGTGCTTTAGCACTAACACTAAAATGCGACATGAACAGTGTAAGGATCTCTGCTGTTTTATAGCATTTCACCTGCCCCCATCACCGAATTAGTTCTTTCCACAGAAATAAGATGAATAAAACAAGTCTCCTGAAGGATAATAAAAAGAGGTTTCAATCTTAAGAAAGCATTGATCTAGGACATACTACTATGAAAAGTGGTGAAATAAAATAACCATCACAAATAACATATTTGTCTTATTCACTGAGCCAATTTGAAACAGAAATGAAAATGAAACTTAAATCTGTGAATTAGCCTTATGAAGAACTAGTTACATATAAAGTATTTAGGTTTTGTTCTCAAATCTAACACAGACATAACTGCAGTGTTTTACCTTTAATACCGAAAGGAAAACAAAACATTACCGGCGCCGTTTGAATGGCGATTTTGGCATATCAGCTGTTGGGATCATCTGCTCTCCTGGTCTCACCCACATTATGGGACCATCATCACTTTGTGACCTGCACTGAAGTCTGAGACTAGAAAGAGTACCCCAGGGCAAAGTCATCTAAAAGAAAACAAAAACAAAACAACCCACAAAACACACATAACACAAAACACTGGGTGAGATAGAAAAATTAAATGATGCCTTTGGTAAAACTGCTCAAATTTGCTGTCAAAAGAATTGCATAGAAACTAAAATAAGTTTGAGAGGTAAAACATATTCCAAGCTAACTTTATCAAAATTAGTTTTTAGGGAAGTAGTTGATTATGCAGTGCACATTATAAACTATATTTAATTTTTTAATTATTCACACAACTGTAGCTACCTAATTCAGTACCTTTTATTTGGATACAGGAAAGAATGTACCTCAGTAGCCCAAACAATAAGCACATCAATAGAGAAAATACTTTATGGTTTCTAATTACTTGTAAATATATGAAACTTAGTAATTGTTTAAATATCTATAGCACTCTAAACAAAACACCACAAGTTACTGCTTACTCTGAGAAAAGGAGATTCTTCTAACATATCTAGAAATTCTGGGAAGTAGTCCCCAACTTCTTCATCCACTGCTCCAACAAGACTGATCTGCCGCATTGGTCCTGCTCTGTAGGTTCCACAGCAGTACGTTCGATTGACCTGAGTGGCCAAAAAGGAAAAGGCAATACCACCACAGCTTTAGTTCTGTTACAAGAGATTAAAATTGACTGATATAATACACTAGGCCACAGCAGAGATGAATCTTGGATTCATCTACATGACTCATCTACATCTATTTCATTAGAGATGCCTTTGGGAATATGCACAGAGACTGCTTAGAACAGATGCCCATAGGGTATCCCAAGAGAAAAGAACTCCTGTCTGTATTACTGATAGGAAATACTTCTAAAGTTTGAGTAATAGCAAGTTCATATTTGACTAATTCAGGAACAATTCAACACTTCCAGGCTGACTTGAGAAATCCACCACGCAGTTTCATTGTGACTCAGTCCTTCACCAGCAAACTTAACTCTCCACTAATTTGTGCAGTTGACTGTTGCTTCTACATTTCAAACTGTATGCTATTGAAATATGTGCATTCTTCATTTCAGTCATGTCCTATAGGTCTTTTCCCTATGACTGTAGTGAAAAATCTAGGTGTCCTTCATGCAGTGGTTCTGGTAACATCGCTATAGTGTACACACAAAATTGGACAAAAATTGAGGAAATGAGAGGTCTAGCTAGAAATCCAGTGTTCATGTACAACAATTTCAGGATTACCATTTGCAATATAACCAGCTGTCTCTGTTGTGACCAGAAACACTTTATCTCTCTTACAGCTTTTTGCCATCCTCTGTAGCACAGACTGTCCCACTTTCCCAGGTCATCTGGAAACTTTTCTTGCCAATTTCCTGTTCCTGGAGGAGAACCACTGGCAAGACTCCAGTGTTCTCTACTCTCATCCTATGGACTGCAGCTATAACATGCCATATGGCCACAGAGTAGGTTGTATGTAGATGCAGCACCTATTCAATCTTAAAAGATAAGAAATTCTGCCATAATTAGTCTGTTTTGCATACTCAATTGTGTCTGAGCTCCAACCTTCCATCACTCTTCAACAGCCTCTCTACATTCATCAAGCAGTTCTAGTGGTGAAAAACTACAGCCAATCTCCATGGCTAAGTGGTGGGACAGGTACAAAGGACAGAGGGTTACTGGTAAATTTGCAGTTTTATAGTCATGTTCAGAAAGTGTGATACCTTTTATAACTCCATTTACAGATATATGTATGAAGAGCTTAGTTTTAAGTTTCGCAGTTTAGCCAACAAACCAGATGTAGTTAAACTACTCCATGAAGTTGTTAAAGGTAGATTAGGAGAGAGACTAATAAAACAAGAGTTACAGTTACTGCTGCAATTTTATCCTCTAGCAGCAACCATAGATATTTAGCTTCTTAATTATAGGAGTTTAGCTCACTCCTATTTCCAGAGTCCTCCTTTCTTTAGCTTTGTGTATATGCCGTTGGCAGTTCTGCATTAATTACACACATTTACATTTTAATTAAAAGCTAAGTAGGAGCCAAAGACGACTTCACATATAGCTTTATTCCTCAGCCCTAAGCCAACTGCTGCACCACATCACCTCTACTTGCATGTGTAGAAGTTTACATCCCAAGTCACTCACAGAACATTGTGCAGCTCAAGCACTCTACCTTCAAGTCCATCAAGACCAGCAACAGCAGCTGAATGAGCACATACTAACTTTCTGGTTTTGACCATACAGATTTTATGAACCAGGCACTATCTTCAGAGGCTGCTAATTCTTTTTGGCTGTTGCCCTAAGAAAGTTAAGTCTCCAAATCCTATTAGAACATTACTGGTAAAGGTTCATATCTAACATCAGTAAAGTGGAATGATTCCACCAGCTAGCTAGAATGCAATTCAGAGCAGCAGTATTGGAAAACCATAGCATTAGTCTAGTTTTGTGCGCCTATGGGAGAACTAAGGACTGAAATGCTCTGGTATTTAAGCCAGTTAAGTTTAACTGCCTGGTACTATTAAAGTAAGTGGAGATAGACTACTTCCAGATGAGAGTTGTTCTATTGAAACCACCTGTTGAGTATTCACTGGTATTTCACAGGTGTTGGTCACAAGTTAAAATGAATTATAATACCATATGCAGTTTTTCCTTGTAATGTTTTCAAAGGGAATTAAAAACTAGAAGCTTTAACATTATTTTTTTAATGCACTGGAATGCAATGAAAAAATAAAAAGAATTCAAGAGCTGTAAAAGAGACACTAGAAATACTTTAAGGAAATCTTGGATTTCAATGTTTTGCTAGTTTTTAATAGAACTTAAAGAAACAGATAGACTTGAGAATTAAAACCAGGATGTGTTTACACTGAAAATATGTACCAACTCATGGCAATTCCCAGCAGGCAGTAGTATTCATTGCAAGCACCTCAATCACAGGGGAAGTAGTCTATAGTTTAATACGCTGTAAAAAATTCCTTCACATATAGTTTCTCTCATCCTTAATTCCTCCAGAGCAGCACAAATACAAATACCACTGGTTAGGTTAGTGGTCTCAAGAATATGGAGTATGCTAAGACCTTGTGTGTAGTAACAAGCATGTTCATGACCATGTAAAAGAACAGGCATTTTACTCATGGGACACTAAACCACCCACCTGTAAAGGAAAACCAGGTAACCTGCTTGCTGCACCTTCTTGCAAACTACTTTGACATTTCATCTGCAAAGTGCTCTAGATGCACTCTTAACAGCCATATTAATTTCACAGCCATCTTCATGCACCCCTCTTTTCAGGGAAGAAAGGTAAGACTATGAAATACCTGAAGTCACTCTGAGAAAGGTCCTAGTGGATATAACAAAGTTTCTTATTTTTGTTTAAATTTCAATTCTTGCTTAGGAACCTAGCCTGTGTCATTCCAGTTTACATGGCTGTCAGAAGTTAATAACTTATTACCACAGCACCTTCACTGCTATAATTTGTTCACTATGCTTCTTTAAAAACATCAGTGGATCATATGAGTACTAACTGCCACTATCTATGGATCAGATCATGCACTACCTTTACTGCTATAGAAGGACCATTGGGCTAGTAAGACCACTCAGGTGTCCTGTGCCCTTTCAAAATGCCAAACAACTATCACTACCCTATGTATCCCCTACTCCATACAGGATCACACTAAGAGTGAAGTTATAGGCATATTTAAAATTAGCTTTTCGGTGTTAATGGAGACATTTTATAGCAGCTGAATGATGTGCCTATCAGTGTTCCGCACACTTGAGTGAGAATAGAAGTAGACAGCATCAGTGTTTCCTGTAGAAGTTACAGATCTAGTATTTGCATGTTACTGAGATAATTCAGACCACTGCCTCATGAAGGGTTAAGCAAGCAGTATACCTATGTAGGATAAGAAGAGGACATACAGATGAGACATAAGCTTGAGACAAATGAGGTTAAATTTCAGAAGTTTCTCTCTAGTTTCAAGAAAAGCATGAATCAGTTGACAGTGACAATATTTTAGTATGTCAAGTCAGCTATAAAACCAACCATGCAAACACTTTGCTATAGTAAGAAAGCAAGAACACAAGAAGGCTTACTATTTACAACAGAAGGAGGAAAGGAAGACAGTGTGACATGCCATTACAGCAAGGGTTTGTGTTTGACTAAAACCTGTCAGATATTTCAGCAAGACCACCGGGCATTATTTGTATGGCTTAAGTGATAAACCAAATTAAGTTTGCAGTACAGATGCACAATTTCTCTATTTCACACTTTGATAGCTTCTGCTAAAAAAAAAAAGAAATTGACCTTCCAGAATAAGAGACCTTCTTCCAGGAGTAAGAAAAGTTAAGGTGGAGCAGACAACCAAATCTGATATGGTTCATTAACCAAAGCTGTCAGGAATAGAGTAACCTTTTCTGACAGTATGTTGCAGAGTAGGAAAACTTATCCTATTATCACCTGTTGGCTGCTTCTCCCACCTCCTTCCCAGAAGGAGCTTATGCAAAACCTACTTCCCTCAACACTTTCCTGGCCTATTCCCAGAACCCCCACTCCTTTGTGACAGTTTAACTGTTCTTTGGGCCATACAGAGAACTGATCAGGCAGTTGATCATTTCTTCTTGGAAAAAACACTGAAGTGTTTTTTTCAAGTCTAGATATATTCCAATTCACTGAGTAGACCTAGAAGCAGTTGTACTGAAACAACTGATAGAGAAAACAAGAGTTCATTCTCACTGCACTGCTAAGAACTTTCAAGTTGAAGTATGCCCTTATGTGGAGAAAGCTTACACATCACTGTTCAGTGATTTGAGTCTTGAAAGCTCTTAGTCCAAGTGAGTAGCTCCAAACTAAAGCTTAGCTTTAGCACTAAAGTATTAGAACAAATGAGCCAGAGCCAATGCAAGCAAAAAATCCAGAGAACATTGAAGCTTAATTATTTTAATATACAGAAACCAAACAGTTATACTACAAATACACATTGGAATGCTTTGTTATAAACATTCAATTTACATTGTCCTCACTGCCCTGAGAACAGAGGAATTCACCTTGCAAGGGAGTTATAATTAACTAGATTTTTATGAAATCTTCCAGATTAAAGTCCTTATTTTGAATTGGAGACACTTCCTACTAAAATTCAGTTTGTCTGAAAAGGTACACAAAACAGCTGAATGTTGTACAAGCCAAAGGTCACATTAACTTCCAGTTAACTTGCAGTTTACAGATCAAAGTCTCCAGGACTCAAGACTACCTAATGCTTGAAATCCCCTTGCCACAGTATGGTTCAGTACAGCAAACAAGTTCATACATACAGAAGGTTCAACCTAGAATGGAGATGACTTTTAACTGAGCATCTTCAATTAAAAATAATATCAGTATTACAGCATACAATACTGTAATATGCTTAATCTGCAAAGGCGTAACTATAAAGTGCTTTTGTGTTGTACAATTTCTCATACAGGAAGGTCCAAAAGTGAAGCTTAGCCAATCTGTTCATTCCTCAACAGCGCTGCCAAGGAATAGCAGTAAAATAGCCAGACTTATCCTCCCTGTGCTTTCTTAAGCAGGGCATTTTAGCCTTCTCTATTTAAAGATAAGCTAGCTTGCAAAACTTGAGTTTTAGCAGCATGCAGCTACCATAGTTGAATCCACCAGTAATTTAAATGCATCCTTCAACTAAATATTTTACCATCACCTATATTCTCTGAAGAGTCCTGTTTCAGCTGTCTTAAGAGTTGTGACAACTATACTTCTCTATGTTTGCTCAGTGTGTGAACCACGCCAACATATTTCAGCCAGAGAAGATTAACCAGGTCATGCTGAGGCTGGGTTTAGAGAGGTGTTTTAGACCAACTGAACCTTATGTCATGACTCAATCAAGTTTAGACAGTACTTAGAATTAACTGAAATACCAGCACAGACTATAACCCAGTGAAGCCTCTTATTTATTACCATACGTTCCTCACATGTATTTATAGTATAAGCTATTCATGTTCACAAGACAGACATTCACCAAGAAAAAGTGTAATTGTTAAATATCCAATTGGCACTGTTTAGCCATTTTAGGGCGTCATCACATGTACTCAGAGTAAATTAGAATGTAATCATGATGTCAAAGAACATAGATAAATCACTAATACAGAAGACTTTAAAACCTAACCTGTGGACAAGTTTCACATCTGCAGAGCACAGGTATGTACTGTGCAAAAGTGTTCTTGCTGATAGCAGCAGTTTGTATGCTCAGACAGACTGGTTTTGGAGTACTATTCACTCTGATGCAGCTCTGTCAGTGCAAAGAATTACTTAAATCAAGAAATAGAAGCTGGTTTGAATTAAGTGCTGCAGCAGCTATTCATTGTCAAACAAATTTGTAAGCTAAATGTCAGAATTACTAATTTAATGGTATCTATGATGAATGCTGGAAAGTATTCAAAGACTCTGCAAGTGACCATGCAGTAACTTTCTGTAAAGCAGTAACTGTTTTTCCATTGCAAATCTTGCTTACAAGCATTTTGATAAACTCTGGAGAGATCCAGATAGCCCATCCACAAGCATTACTATTTCAAAATCTGTTGCTAAAAAAAGTCTGTTCCAATAGTACTGAAGTGCACTCCACTACAGAGTTTCAGGTTTTTCCTTCCAATTGGTGAACCAGTGAACATAATTTAAAGTCTTTATTCAAGACCTTAAAGTAATCAGCAGTTTGAATCTGTTCTCAGACTAGACTAAGCAAGAAGAGGTTTTATTCCATCTGAAACAAATTTATCTAAACTGTAATGTTGCTGTACGTTCATAGATAGTTCTAAGCTTGATCACAGGAGTCAAATGCAAGGGTTTTTCATATGGGAATCTTGAAATTAGCTTAGTTATTACTGTTGCATCCATTTAAGTTACATGGAGATACAGTTTGAGAATTTAAGATAGTTTAATCCTACTATGGAAATCAAGGTAGTATATAAAATGAAAGCCTTTTTCAAAGGCAATTAAAAAGATATTCTAACCACCCCTCTGAAGCTGGAAAGTTTAAACACCCAGCATCAGCTACTGATACAATTAAGATGTTAAAATACTTATTTGTTGTGAATGACATACTGAAACCTGAAAAGTAACGTCTTTTTCCAAAACAGATCTATTGAATAGAAAAAGCAGTGTTAGTATCTGCAATCTATACAACTCTTAATACAGACTTGCCTATTAATCTGAACAATGTCAGTGTTCTCCCAAGTTTAGAAGATCAACTCAAAGTCTGCAAGAAGATCAGTGCAGATCTTCTACAGGTCACAGTTAGCAGTGTCTGAAATGTGATTCACCAACTACCAGTGGGCACAAAAGCTTTAAGCAGAAACAGGAATAAACAGCACAGTAGCAGTAGTCCCAACATCATCTTTTTTCATCTGCTTAGAAAAAAATTTGTGCTTCACCTATTTTAGGCCATCCCTGCTCTGGATTAATGAGATTAATTGAATCTAGGTGTTGTGCAACTTATGCCTTTAAACAGTTCTTACCTGAGAGTGAAAATTTGAAATTGTTGTTGTTTCAATGTCCTTCTTGCCCAAAATTTCCATTTTCACTGGAGTGTTAGGAAAGTTAAAAGCAAAGTAATCCAGGAAGTCTGGTAAATAAGCAGCTGCTCCATGTACTATGGCTAAAGCATAGTAGGCTGCATTTTTATCATTTTCACTGAATGACAACGCAAGAAACTCTTCTGCAAATCTCTCCATCTCCACTGGAGACAAAAATGAGAGTTCATCCATGTAAGCATGAAGGACCAGAGCACCACCATTGGACTGATGTTCTTCATGAATGAAGTTACTAAATTTAGTGCCAGTTTTCAAGAAGCTGCTGCGAACAGAATGCTCCTGGTGTGTCACAAATGGTGTTTGTACTCCCTGGGGTATTCGATATTCCTGCATACCCAAATTCAGTCTGCAGAGCTGCTCATCCTTCAGATACCTGAAGGATTCCTTGTTCATTTCTAAGTTATCACACTGTCCTTGAGACAGAGTCTCTTTGTCAATGCGAGTGAGTCCAGCACACACTGTCTGCACTTCTTTGTTGTACATCTTCAGGCGTTTTCCCCTCATATCTTCCCGGTGTTTCTTTTTCTTTTTTTTCTTTATCTTCTTCATAATAAGACCATCAGCTCGCTGGGTTTTGCCATTTTCATCTGGAGTTTCTGGCAGCAACAATAAAGAGAAGATTAGAGTTCTGCAGTTGCAGCATATTCACCCAAAAAGAATTAAGGCCTCTCATTTGCTAAAGCTATCTATTCCCAGGAAGACTGACCAATAGTAATACCTTGACTTTTGACTTACAAGACTTAATTATACAACAAAAAAATGCAGTACATCTAGTTATTATGCAAAGAAAGCCTTGAATTAAGGAAAGATTCCAGAACTCAAGCTTAATATTTTAGAAATATTTCAATTTTTAATAGATTTATTAGAAAACCTTTAAAAGAAGTCCGTATTTCAGAACATCTATAATTAAGTACATTAATAACTTCTGACATTTAAGGCAGTGCCATGCAAGGGAAGAGGGTAAACAAGTATGTATTTAAACATCAAGACTTTCATTACAGAACACTTCCCTGATTTTGGATACACAATATAGAAGCAAAACAGAGTGCAACTGAAGAGGTACAAGCATTATTGACATTTAGAGGTAAAAATCCTTAAAGCAGTTAGCTTTCTGGCCAAAAGAATCTTAGACTGCTGATCTTTTGTATTAAAGGATCCAAATCATCACATCCACATCTTCAGCTATCTTTTGTTAGTCTTATAGTTAACTATTCAGTTAATTCAGAGCTAGAAATTAAGAGGTGGTTGGGTTTTTTTTAAAGGTTAATCAACCTGTAAAAGGCTGAAGGCCAAGAGATAAAACGTAAAGAAGTAGTTCTGTTAGACAAAATGTCATAGTTTAATTGCTCATCTTTTAGGAGTAAAAACTAATTCAAATAATATTCAGCAAGCGACAATGGTAGTTAGAAATCTTGATGGTCCAGCGTTAAAAAACTCAATTGCCAAGACAAGATTTAATCTGCCTGAATCGAAGAACTACTTCGAGCCAACAATGCACATAAACCTCTAAGAGCCACATTACTAGGATAGCTATGGGGATCAGAACAATCTCCTGCTGACGGTAACATCTGACTAGAAGATGCAATAGCTAAAGTTTTTCAGTTTCCCACAGCACAGGGCTTTATGCTAACAAAATTTCCTTTCTTTGTCTGCAAAGCTATCAAATTTGTACTCCCTCTTTATTCTCTTGCAATACTTGAAGTTAAAGAAAAAAAACATGTTCTCATCCTAAATCCAAAACACAGCATTGTACCAGCTACTAGGAAGGAAATTAACTCTATCCCTGCCGAAACCAGGACACTGATCTATGAGAAAAGGTGTAGTGATAAATACATGCAGCTTCAAGCTATTAGTCTAACCACAGTATTTAACTATATCATTACTAGTTTGGTCTCAGAGCTCTTTACTAAAGATGGTTGACCTTCATAACAGCCTGGTGTAATGAACAGAATTACTCATGAAGCAAAGGAAGAGTTGATTGCTTAATACTAACCTTCATACAATCGTCTTAGGACCTGAAATACAAGTTTTCACAGTGCTGCTGTTAGCCTTTACAAACAGCAAATGCCCTTATTTTTATATTACAGCTAGGGAAACCAGGAAAATAAAGGTGGTATCACTTGTTTTGGTAAGTCAACTGAAACAGTTCTTTGAATAAGCTTTTCTGGAAGTCTCAGAAGTTAAGCGTGCATAAGCTTACTCAATCACTAAGCTCTCAAGTACAGATACTGCTTTACTAACTGCAATGAACATACTAATCACACAGAAGATCTTTGTTCTGGTGGGACCAGAGATTCCAAGCTGAAACTAAACAAGAATCTCATGCCACCACTGAGCTGTTGGGAATACTTCCCTGTAGATGTTTTTAAGTTAATTTTTGGTTGTTAAAGGTGTCTTATTTTAAGCATTTATAATTTTAGATATAGTTTAAAAACCTCAGACATGGACTAGTTTTAATTCAGAGTATCTTCCTGCTTGAAGATATTCCCTAACATCAGACAGTCACGTAGCACTCTTTGCATTTTGGAACTTCCAGTGAACACTGGTCTATTTTCAGGATAAAAGCTATCCTGACCACTGCTGTATCCACTGAACACAGCAGAGTCCCACTACTACAGTGAGAGTAACCTCTGTATTAAGCGAAGCTAGAGAGTGACATTATGGTAATGCCCGACAATCTTGAAGGAAATATAGTTTTAATTATTCCTTTAAATAAGTGGAAAGCCTCCAGTACCTCAAACACAAAGAAAGCTATAGCCAGGCCATCAAACTATGGGCTCCCACAGTGAGGTAGAACAACAGCAGTGCCAATAACTCAGCTGGTCTAAAACTATTAGACATCACATAACTGAACACACTAGATGTTCATTGTCACCTGTGGCCAAAGATAAGAATAGTATAGTCAAAGAAATAGGCAGTTTAATTAGATTATACAAAGAAATAAGAACTGATAGTGAAAGACGAAAAGAAATCCATCCCCATCTGGAAACCCACTACATATGCAGCCTAGGACAAGTAGCAAAGAGCTTCAGATTTCCAGTAGGCAAACAGCTTTCCTTTGCAAATCTGGAATTCGGACAGTAGTTTTAAGAGTGTTTAAGCCTTCATTAAAAGACTCATTTGATTACTGGGTTAGAACCGACATACAGCGAGTGACACTCCTAGTCTACAAAGATATACTACTTCTGTAGTTTTATCAACATTTATCAAGCTAAAGATTGAAATTTACAACCCGATAGCTTTTATAGTCATTATTCAAACATAGTGGTTTAGAAGCATTAAACAGCAGTGAAAAGTCTCTCCCCATAATAGTTTTGCCCATTCTTAAGACAGTACTATGTAGAGTTTACACTATAGACCTAACTTTTGTAAGCACATGCACCTTTGGTTTCTTTGGCACAATACCTTCACATATACTCCTGGAGCATAATTCACAACATAATATCTTTATTACAGCAGCTTTTGCAATTGCTTTTTATCTATGTTGCTCACACTAAGAGGCTTTTTACTATCACAAATTTGTAAGCAGAACCAAAACAGTCATTCTGTACTGTTAAAAAAAAAAGACACCTCCCCCAAAATCCAGAGACATTTTGGCCTTCCTATTAGAGAAATCTCAGGGCGTTTATTAAAAACAAAAACAAACAAAACAAAACAGCAGCTTCTCAGTTCTAGTATATGTTAATGGAAGCATAGTAGGAAGAAAGCTTTACTATCAAAGCATTTGTATTTTGAACTTGCGATGAGGGCAGTTCTGAACAGCAGCTCTAGGGCAAGAGCAGCACCACCAGAGCTCCCACTGCCCGCACAGAGAGCCCGCAGCTCGGGTCCCCCTGCCACACACACCTGGGCTCCGCGCTCAGTCCTAGAGTGGAAGAAGCGTCGTGCCCCGCTACGACAGGAAACAGCGACAAGGACTACTCAGTCCACGGTCTGCTCACGCTACCTCGCGTGCCTCCACGCGAACAC